ATATATATATATATCACTTCTTAATAAAATATATTTATTTAATACTATAATTTTTAAAAATACGGTTTTAAGAAACAAATAAAAAAATTGTTTTCTAATTATGTTTAGTTGGAAGGATTGTGTGATTTGTAGTGTTAGGATAATAGTATAGCAGAGAATTAATATGATTGTGGAGTGTTTGGATAATAGTATAGTAGAGAATTAATAGTAGAATTTAATTATTAGTTAAAAACTCCAAATAACTTGAGAATTTGACACCTAAGCAAATTAATTCTAAAATGCTTCTCTTTTAATATATAAAGGATAATTATAATTATGTTTGGCTAGTAGAATAGTAGGAGTATTTGGCTAGAAGGATGTTTGGCTAGGAAGATAGTAGGAGTAAGTATTAGGGAATTTTTAATTATTTAAAAAAATATTAGAGGATTTTGAATGAATATTCGGATTTATTTAAATTATTCTGAAATTAGTTTTGTAATTAACATTAACACTTTCGGATTTGAATTTAATAGGAATAATTATAATTATGTTTGACTAATAGAATAGTAGAAGTGTTTGGCTAGGAGGATAGTAGGAATAAGTATTAGAGAATTTTTAATTATTTAAAAAAGCTGAAAAAAAATATGGTGTTGATACATCAGTAAAATAGTCTTTCAATGCTTCTTCTTTAATATATAGAAGATGTTTGAATAATTCTTTTTTTAATAATAGAAAGCAAATAAGATTGAAGGGGAGAAGAGATTTCCATAAAAAAGAAAGATAAAGAATAAAAAAATAAAGTTAGACGTGGGTGAATTGGTGTTTGTAGAGGGTAATATAGTATATATTGTAGAGAGTTTGTTGACATTTATTTTTTGGTTATTTTCTTGATTATAAATTTTTGTTGGCTATTACACCCAATTTCCCTTAATAAAACATATTTTTTTACAAAAAATATTATTTAATAAAAAACTAAAAAAATTAAAACAAAGAAATAAAAGCACAACGAGAATGCAAACAACCAATTA